ACATGGGACTATCTTGCAGGACATCCTGACAGTTTCTTTCCTCCTTAGGCTCTCTGAATACGGGCAAGCTCCTCCTCCCAGGATAGGAGGGATGGAGAGGGAAAGGAGAATCTGTGCATAGTTGAGCTAGAGTTTTATATTTAAGGCTTTTTCCCCCTTTGAAACCAAAGATCCAAAATATGCATCTAGAGTAAGCAGAACCCCAAATGGGTATCTTACTGTCACAGTCTGCTTCATCAGATTTGTCCTGGCAGTCGATCTCGCCGTTGCACCGCAGGTGAGCGTCGATGCACTGGCCCTTCTCGCACTGGAACTGCGCCGCAGAACAGATGGGGCAGCTGTCCTCGTCGCTCTGGTCGTCGCACTCAGGGAAGCCGTCGCAGCGCCACGCCATCGGGATGCAGTCGATCTCTCCGGTGGCACAGGTGAATTGGTCAGGGGAGCAAGTTGGGGGCTCTGGAGAAAAAGAGAGAACAAAGCATGTTTGCATGTTCAATTTCAACCCTTTCAACAGGTTGCAAACAGGACAAGCCTTTTTTTTTTTTTTTTTTTTCTCTCCACTGCAGCTCTTCTGTGCAAATGGAAAGATTTCAGGAAAGAGAGAAACATCATCTTGCATAAGGCATGAAATCTTCCCAGCCATGAACAAAAACTGGTTGCCTGCTGATAGAAGAAGCTCACTTTAGCATGCAAGCACTGAGCTAAGGGCAGGAACTCCAAATACTTTGGCTCTAATAACCACCTTTCAGAACAGACTGTTCTATAACTTAAAAGAATACTCAATTTCTGCTGGCAAACCATGTTTTGCAGCACACTAATCCCTGCGTTATACTTGCCTGGAACAAATCTAATCAGAGCTTAAAATAATCTTCATACAAAACTGGGTTAATCATTTAGTTAGAATTAAGAAAGCTGGGACTTCCTTGGAACCTGCCTCTTCATGAACCCTAAGACCCTGGGATGATCCCATTCCACACCCACACTGTTGCTCAGCTTGCAGTCAGACAGAGAGCATTGAGCAGCTGCATTTAAAGAGATGCAAAAATTATGTTGCAGGCGGATGGTCAGTGCTGTTTTCTTCTGAATGGCAACAACCAAAGGACAAAGATGATGCTGATCAAGAATCTATTGCAAAAGACAAAAACCCAAACAAACAAAAAACCAAAAAACGCCTCCCAGGTCTTACATAGAGCAAATTAGCAAACATTTTTTTCACCACCAACAGATCACTACAGTTAGAGATGCATTTTCCCCTCTCTCCTGCGGGTGGTGTTTAAGTTATAGATCCTAGAGCCATGCAATTACATGCAAATCATTTTTAAAGCGCAGCTATCCTTCATCAGCAAGAAATGTTCAAGAACAAGACCCAACTTCATCCAAAACTTGAAAAACAAAAGGTTAATAAAATCCAAAAATGTTTTATTTTTAAAAAAACCTTACGATTTTGAAGTTCCTGATTAATGATTATTGGGTGTAGCCATGCTGAAGATTACAAATGTAGCCAGTGACCTGGCAGCTGTAGATAAAAAAGGTGCCAGATACACACATCAACATAATTCTTGAATTAAATTTTAATTCGAGGGTACCATTTAGATAATTCAATAGCTAGATCACTTGCTTCTGATTTGCAGCCACATTTAATGCTGCACAAGTTTCCATTCAGAAACTTGTCCAAAGTGTTCGTAAGGGCACATAGACAAATGTTCTTCAGCCAAAAAAGCTATTAAATCTGTTGTGAAATGCTGGCTATGGGCTGCCACTACTGTAGACCAGATAGGTTGAAAAGGTGAGGCAGGCTTAGGGAAGGATTAAGATAAAGATGAACAAAGACCGAAACCAAAAGGGAGGCCCCTGAATTTTTAGATTTATAGCTGAAGATAATGAAGCAGTGGGACATAGGAATCTCTCACTGGCAATGTCTTGCAACAGCAGCACAGCAAGGAATATATAGCAATTGATTTATTTTTTTCTCTTGCAGAAGTAACTGCTGCTACTCAAACCACATAGCGTGTTGTGGTCATGGGAAAGAAAACAGTTTATAATGGAAATGACTGTCCCTAGGGAGGTCAGAGTTCAGCCAGAAAATGAAATCCACTGCTAAATGAGTACATAAAAACAACACAAGAGGACAGGCAGAGCCAAATGATTTCGGGCAAATCTAACCCGTGGTGCTTCCCAAAAATAATATTTTTTTCTGCTTTTTGAAAATCCTCACTGCGAGTGCAATGCAACAATTTTCAAAAATCATGGGACTGCGACTAGAAGTCTAAAAACAAAGTCTGCAAGGTGGGAAAAGAGGAGCTGTCTTAACGGAAAAGGAGCAGCTGAGCTTTTGGCCTACCTTTTGTCAACTGGAGAGCAGTGTTTCACATTCCCAAGCAAAATTGATTTGAAAGATTGTCAAGTATCACACTATGGGGTAGTATGCCCCATTTCTGCTGCGAGGTCATCAGAGGTTGATGCAACATCATGTTACAAGAATTTTTTCACAGCACAAACCTATCACATCATTTACTCCAATCTCCTACTGAGACTTTTCTAAGTGTTTTAAGGTCAAACGAGCATTGTGCTCATAATGAAAAGTCACATAGGCCTAAGAACTGAAGCCAAGAACACCTAGCAGAAGCATCAAAGGCCAAGTTTAACTCATGATGCAACACATTTTAGTCCAGAAAAACGCAGTGTGTAAATTCACGTTCTGGATTTGTAACCTTCTGCAGAAAAGCTGGTGTCATTTTATACTATGTGAAATCCACAAATCCCCTTTTTGAGCAAGTTTCTGGCACCAGTTACTCTTCCTGGTTCTGGTCACTTGTTTCATTCGTTCAATTAAGTTTTGAAAACCTCTTCCTCTAGAAAGAGAGAAAATAACAAAGGAACCAGATTGCCCTTCTCTCACTTAACAGTGCTTCAGCCTCTCTCAATCGATTTTCCAGTGGTTCCAAGTCTTAAGTTCCCTTGGACAACATCTATTTGACGTAACTCACCTCCACACGTCAGCAGGTTCTGTAGAAGCACCAGGTGCTCTGGGCATGAACATCTGGGCGTGCCGTCCCCCTTGGCGATGCAGATGTGCGAGCAGCCGCCATTGTCACGAGAACATGGATGTGCAGCTGGAGAAGCAAGTGCACAGGAAGGAGCATGAGTGTAAGAACAGTAAAAATCACTATTCCTCAGTAGTGCAAATTCACAAAACCCTTCTGTGAAAGTAACTACAACATTTCACTACAAGTAAATAGAGAAGCGAGGATAAAATTTCTCAGAAATTTGCTCAGAAGCTGATTTGCTACTTCATGAGGACTATATTTCTCCCAGTGGAAGTGATGCAAACACCTTTAAATGACTTCTAAAAACAATTGGGGAGCTCAGGCAAAGGGAAGCGAGAAGGTGGATTTGACTAGGTCACACTTCTGAGGTTCCTAGACATTCTCACTTCTAGGCTAGCCAGGCATTAAGAAGTGCGGCAGGGCTCTTAAGCAGGAGGAGCGGCTCCCAGGTTATGACTTGGTGAAGTAGATTGCCTTTTAAGGACTTCCTAAGAGGTTTCAGCTCTCCTCCTCAGAGAACTGGGGCTAAAAACAATCAGTCCAGAGAAGTAAAGCAGACCCTAAATGCCCCCACCTCTGATGGGAGAGAAATTTCTCATCAGGAACAGAAATTCTGGGGAGCTTCCCACTCACCACCCCTCTTTTACATCAGCTGTGCTGCGTCAAACCAGTGGTGCTTTACAAAGTGGTCTGAAACCTCTGGGGCCAAGTGCCATCCTTTTTGTTTCCTTTAAAAGGTTTTCCAAAGTCTTTTATTCGGTCGTACTTACAAAATTAACCACCATGACTCACAGCAGCTTTTGGAGTAGAATTAAGTATCAGATGCGCATTTATACAAATCAGGTAACTAGGTGCTGTGAAATCACATGTTCTAGCTATGGAAAAAACCCTCCTCCTGTCAGGAATAATAAACTTGTTTCCCCTTCTCTTCTAGGGGTCTGACCCTGAAAGTTGAAAGCACTCCGTGACTTTCTTCAAACCCAGAGGGCAACGCTATTAAACTGCTGTGCTGGACCAGGAGTTTAAGGGAGCACAAGGCCAATTGTGAGGGACATCAGACACTGAAATGAACTCACAGAATTCCTCCATGTCGAGCTCTTCCACCGCGTGGATGCCGGTTAGGTGAGCAATTCTGCCTTGAATTCTAGTCCTCTTGTAGCCGTTGGTTTTCTCCACCCTCTCGATCATCTGCTGCTGACGATCAATCCAGTACAAGTGGTTACCCAGCACAGTCAGTCCCATCGGCTGAAGGATGTTGGAGTCTTCCAAGGTCACTCGGTTGGCACCTGAGAGCAACACAAACACAGTGATTTTACAGCAATCAGTATTTAACTCGCACAGATTTTCTTTAAAGAAAAAAATCTCAGTTCCAAGACATGCTCTAAGGTAGTTTTTGAGATTTCCAAATCCAATCCCACTAAATTCTGAAATTATTCAGTTGTAAGGACATTGGTTCCATTTGTCTTTGCAGAGCAAGGCTCTGCTTGCACAGCCTTTCCCCAGGTAAATGCAATTAATTGCCACCATCAGCATCATGTTGATGTACTCCCTAATAGCTGTGTGCAATCACTAAAACACCTGTGACACAGGGAGAAGCTTCATCTCACGGATCAAATTTTCTTGACTACATTTGCACACTTCCCAGCACACCTGGTAGGAACCCCGGGTGATACTGCACAAGGCTTTGGCTTTGCTAGAATCTCGCAGTGATCATGCAAAGCACGAGGCCATTCCCTAAATCACATCCACAGGGATACGATCACAAAAACACATCCATCTTCTAACAACTGTACTTCTTTTCTCATCTTCTTTTTTTCTCCAGTAACCAACCAGAAAGCCAGAAGCAAAGTGTAACTCCATATGCTTTTCAACAGTAACATCACCAAACACTCAGGTTTACTGCTCTACAAAATCATCTCAATCAATACGTAAAAATCAGGTTAAATAAAAAAGAATTTATGACTGCTTTTAACTTTAATTGCTTGCAGTCCTCCACTGTGTGCTGTGCTATACTTAGTGGCATCTAACTGTTGCTTTTATATCCTTGTCTAGAACGAACATGAGGTTCCAAATTATTCTATTATTTCACAGAAACCATTTTCAGATTGTGCATGTCTGTGCATATCAGATATATTTGATTTTAAAAATGTGGAATGCAAAACAGACCATAACCTAGTGGTTTCTCTGCTGTGGTGTTTCACTTAAAATAACGACAGTTTATGTCTGTTTGCATTAAGAACAAGTTTTTGGATAGCAACACTAAATAAGATTATAGAATTTGGATATGCAATTAAAATGCTAATGAGCACTGACTTCAGCTAGTTTTCTGCATAAATTACATAGAACTCAGCCAAGCATACAACTGTTACATTTATTTCAATTACAGACACTATTAATTTTGCACAGGGAATTTTTGCCTGCAATGACTCTTACTTGACTGCCATGTTGAATACTGCCCATAATAAACACAGAGAGACAAAACAAAATATGTAATGTATGCACATACGTATGCATGTATGCACATATGTATGCATGTATACATAAAGTCAAGAATCAAATTCCCACTGCTGAAGCAGGTTTTGCAGTCTGCAAGGCAGGGTGCTGGTCCAAAGAGCTTTCTCCTCCGCTGTGAGCATGGAAGCACCAAAGGAACTTTTGGAACCAGCCAGTGGCTGGGACTGCACCACTTGCTCCAGGAAACCTTGTGCCTCTATTCTCACAGGCTCAGCAAAAGATTTGGAAGGTAAAGACCTCTACAGAATAGACAGGCTGCACTGATTTAACTGAAGGGACACTTAAATCTGACCCTTGATACTACTGGTGCCATTCCTGAGATGGTCTCTGAGATAGTCTCCATCTTCTCCTAAACACACAGATCCTGTAAATACTATTACACACGTGGTGCTTTGACACAGGAAGGTATTTAGTGAACAAAGTCCAGGGCACCTTGTTCATTACAACCTGCTGAGCACCCTTAGGTCCTACAACTGCCCAGCCCCTCTCAAGGAAGGTGGTCATTGTGGCAAACCGAGCCTCAAATTTGGACTCCAAAATGCAAGTTGCAGCTGCATTCAGGGCACCACGAGACTGGGAAAGCCTCACTTGCAGCTTGTGGTAAAGGAACCTCCCCGCTTTCATGATCTCTGAGAGCTAAATTGGTTGCTGGTGTGCTGAAGGATTTCCTAAGGCATCCTGAAATCACAGGACATGAGGTGCCAGGTGACTCTCGTAAGCTGGTAACCCTGCTAGAAGACCATTTCTTTTCCAACAGTCTCCTAAACTCAGGCTACGAACAGGCTGTATTTAATGATTTTGGGGGTATATTTCAAGAATTGTGTTTTACCTCCCTCATCTGTAGAATCTGAACAGTGGCATGGTGAGAGGCTGCTGGAGATTGCGTGCGATAAGCTGACTGATCTGTAGCACAGTTACATTGCATCTGATCTTGAGTAAATGCCAGTCCAAGTTATTAACTAGCAATTTTGAAGGGAAAGGCAAAGGGCATCTATACCACTGCATGACTCCATGAGATTGTTGTTCAGAGGAACTAACACAATGAAAAGCTCAATCTGAATGACTGAAAATGTTTTCAATAAATATATTAAAAATCCCATTACAAATAAAGAAATGTTGAATTTCCATAGAAATTAAATACTTTGATTTCCAGCATGAAGAAGACGTGTTGTCTTTTCAAGGTGGAAATTAATATTTACATTGATGTTAAGCTTGAAGGACACACAGTATGTAAAGTCTAATTGAAAACAGAGTATTTGCTTTTACCTTAATTTTATAGCCTTTCCAGTCACTTTAAGAATAATGAAAGCCACTACTGTTTTTAATTGACTGATGGGACAGACTAAAGTTATTTGCAAATATTTTATGAGATCCTAAAAAGCATCCGTGTCTCCAACTGAAAAAGTCAAGCAGCTTACAAAGAAACCTGTCGCTCTACAGGCTGCTTCGTAGCTCCTCCTTCCTTCTCTGAAAGTTCAGCACAGGACAGCTAAGGTTATTCCATCCTTTGGCCAGCTGCTCTTAACTATCTGGGTACAGCAAAACCTCCATAAACTTGTCATCTCCCAAAGCCTGTGACAAAATAAGATTGACCAGAACTGCCTATTAGCATTAAGGACACTAAACAAAATTTTGGTCTAATTTATCCAAAACCTTCACAGTTTATACTACAATCCTTTTGCTAATACACGTCTGCTTTAAAATGTTTTGTCCCACAAACATACTTTAGAGAAACTTCTTCAAGTCAAGATACTTCTGGCTGTTGAGTTTCTTCTGAAGTTGCAATACGAGACCACAAAATATTTTTAAATTAAAAATACACTCCTAACTTGTTAAGCAAAATCAGTAGGTCAGTGGATCAAATTATGGTGAGCTCAGCTGGAACCGATGTAAGCTCAGCTTTCTGGCTACATGCAATTTCCTTTAATCCTCTAGCTTTTCTCATTCTTTTTTATCTTACCTACAAAGGTTTGAAGCCTTAGTTGTGACTCCAACGAATAAATGTGCATTAAAAGCTTTGCTTCAATATTAAACACGAAAAGTTTAGTTTTCACTGCAAAAAGTTCTGGAGAATTAGATTAAAATATTGATCCACTGTCCAAACATATCTCATGGAGCTGCCAAGGCACAGAAAAACGAGGAATGCACCACGTGCAGCAGAAGCTGTGGCTGCAGGACACAGCTACTGTCTGCCAACCCATGGCCTAGCCCATGTGATCTTACCTGAGTCCTACTGTCACATCTTACTTCTCCAAGACACAGATCTAAAACAGTAAAAGTAAAGCCACGTGTCTCATCTGAAGGACTACAGAGTGCATTTTATTTCTCAGCTGCACTAATTGCTTCCAGGCTGCTCGGCACTTAGTGCTGTCCCATGCAAGGAGGGTCTATCTTCCAAGCAGGAGCCTAACACGCAAGAGCAGCTACAGCTTCATTAGGAAGTGAATTTTCCTATCTGAGGTCACCTTTTCACCGGTAAGAACCATAATTATCGGTCCCTGCCTGCCTGCTCGGTTCAGAAACTTCTGCCTGGCACATTTCCCTCCTGCCTACCCCACTGTCCTCTCCTCCATCTTTCTGGGGCCATCCTTCTCTCCCTTCTCCTTTTCTTCATCCCCTGTGCCTGCAAGATGTGCTACATTAACCTCCTCTCCTTTCACTGCTGGCTGCCCTCCCTTCATCCCTAGATGAAGCTCTCAGCATCTCCAATGTTTTGGTGTCCTGCTATAGTAGCCATTCTGACACAGGTGTTTTCATTAGTCACTTCTTGTCTTCCCTCCTGTTTTCCATTTCGCTATGGAGCCTTGGTGCTCCCTGACCCTCTGCCTGGCTACTTCATGGCTGCGCATGCAATCCAACAGAACCACCGTGTCCAGCTAAGTAAACTGCTCTTCAGTGAAAAGCAGGGGTTGCTTTTCCTTCCCAACCCCAGCTTCATGTTCTCATCCCCCCGGGCAGAAGAGACCCGTGCCAGTTCTAAGGGCTCGACACTGAACTGACCTCGCAAAAAAGCAATCATTTTTTCCCTATTTTAATTCCTGAATTGGTTCACTGCAATGCAAGGGAAGGGACTCTATTGGGAGAAGAGAAGAACCACCAAAAAATGGAGAACCAGCCTTTTATAGCAGCTGCTAGTCATGAGATCAGCGCAGCTCCTACTCGCTTGTGCTGAGGTTTAGTTCTCGGTGCAGTTCTTGCAGGAGTTTGATTTCTTGATGATGAGAGAATGAATCATGAGAGAGAAGCACGGACACTAAATCGTCCTTGCTGAGGCACTCACCTCATGAGCTTGGAGGTTTCTCTATCACGTCTTCCAACACTGTCAAGTGCTTTGCAAAGTCAGTGATGAACAGTGTTATGTAAGAACCATGAACTACTGTTGCTAGGGCCTGGACTAATGTTTGCATTTTACTGATATGGGAAAAGTGCAATGAGTTGACATCTTTTTAAAATTTTTTTTCCCTGACAAACTGCTTTATGATTCAGCTTAAAAGAAAGCCATCCTCTTCCTTCTGTTTGTTCTTAGCCTACCTTGGTACTGTAGGCTGCACACCTCAAAGAAAGAAAAAATTAAAGCCATGCTAAGTTTTCAAACCAACAGGAAAAAATGACGGAGGGGGATAGGACTCGATGACTGGCAACACCTCCTAAGTCTGATCCTGCTGGAGTTGCTTTCAGAACGAGTCAGATGTCCCTCTTGGAGGATGGCAGTCGTTACAGCCATGGCTATTCCCATCACATCAAAGATGGGAGCCCACCAGCAATTGTTATCTGGGCCTGCCCACACAGAACCAGCAACTGTGGAGCTACAAGGAGCTACTGAGGTCAACATCAAAGAGGAGACAACACTGCTCCGAATGTTTAAACCGCATAGCACATACCTGACAAGTCACAGCTTTCGATGCGCTTCAGATCTGCATCCACCCAGAAAAGCTTCCCAAGCTTGTTGTCGATCACCAGCGCTACGGGCCGGATCAGCCCGGTCGTAAAGAGCACTTCCCTCTCAGTGCCGTCAAGGGCAGCCCGCTCGATCTTGGGAGCGCGCTCTTGCATGTTGGTGAAGTACATGTACCTGCAGCAAACACAGCGGTGTAAGGGGGGGCATGTCCCCCCTTGCACACGGCTTCCTGGTCCTGAATGGGGAATGGCTGGCACAGGGATGACTGTGGGGACTGCTGCTCCCAGCTGCAATGGTCCAACCTGTTAGCTACAGAGCCACCAGCATTTGCCAGCTGGAATACTGAGATAGCCTGAATTCAGTAGTGTTTCACCCTAAAACACGAGGCCATAAAATGCAATGACTCCTGGAAAAAAAGTCTCAAAAAAGGAAAAAAGATTCTCCTTAAGAAAATGTATATATATACACATTATATATATGTGTGTGTATATGTGCACATATATACACATCCATCCCTACTCACACGCCCAGCTGGCATACCCAGCTCCCCCAGACGTGTGCTGCAGGAAACCCTCACCCTCGCTCCGCGTTCACTACGATGGCTCTGGGCTTGTCGTGGTCCCCTCTCAGGACCATTCCGATGGCCTCGCCGTTCAGCCTGTGCACGTTCACCGAGTTGGTGGCCTCGCAGGTCCAGTACAGCGTGTGGCTGTATATATCAATGCTGAGGTCGTGCGGCTGCTTCTCGGGATTCTGGCTTTGGTTTGGAGTGCTCATGACAGTGAAAGGCTGCAAGACACAATACGGGAAGCAGCTTGTAGGAATTGTTCTAAAAAACATACAGAAAGCAGGGTTTACCTACCCAAAGGACTAGAAATATCCTAAAAAATATATATTTCTGCTGTTTTATTTGCAATCACAGTTGCTTCGCGTAAGCCAAACAAATTGGCCACAACAGCACCATCTACAAAAGTTAAAGACATTTTCACAATTTTGCTTTAAACCTCCATGTTCCCTGCAGTGATATAGAGGCTTTTTTTCTTTAAACCCTTATACTTCTTTTCTCTTTCCTTCTTTTCCTTATATCAAGGACAACATTACCCTGAAATGAAAGTCATAAGCATCATTTACAAAAAACACCAGTTAGCAAAATTCAGTAAAAACAAACTTGGTGAAAATTGGAAAGACAAAATTTGCAGAGGAGCTGCATCTTCAAAAGCTGTGCAGCCAGGATAATGCAAAACACGGAGCAAATCAATCTCCATTGCAATTTGCACCTAGCGAGTACCAAAGAGAAGCCAGACTCCAACAATTAGCACCTAGCATAATCCAAAAAAGCAAGAGCAACACTTCTTCAAAACTCAACCGCAACCCAGCCAGTTGGTCATCCCAGCAGACCTCCTTCCAATCTTAGCAGAAATGGCCAAAAAATAAGAACTGATAATCTATTTCTTGAAAGGATACCATAAAATCACCTAATTTTTTAGATGTATGAAGATACCAGTTCAGTGCCATCAAAATCATGGTCCCTTTGTTTAGATATGGCTGGCCAAGAACATGGAAAATGCACCTTGCCTGTTCTCCATCTGTGTTTATATTCTTATTGGAAGTGTAGTTTTTAAATAATCTCTTATCCTGCCCTGGCATTTAAGCTATATTAACACACAGCACTGCCTGGAAGAACAGCCGCGTTCTCCCACTGCTGGGTGCATAACTAGCACAAAAGAATTAAGCCCCCAAGGCAGCGAAACAATCGAGCGCGTGCACAAGTCTATCCCGGGTGAGCACTGTCAGCTCTGTGTTGAATCAGGGTTTAAGTACAGCTTGGAGAGGCCAGAGAGCCCATTCTGAAAAGGCTTTACAATGATGACAACACGAGCACACAACTGGCATGCACAAGATTGGCTCTGGTGCATCATTTCTCTGCCTCGAGGATTACCCAGAGATAGTGAGTCTGCCTTACTTACCTGTCACTATGATTAAGATACATATCACCTATCCTTACCACTTAAATATTGCAGTTCAAGGCTTGTAATTTCAGATGTACATAATGCTACAGTTAGCATATACTTATTTGTGTACAAACTAAAATCACTACCTTAAAAGTCTTTGGTAATTGTTGTTTGCAGAGTAATACGTGACTAAATGTTGGCAAAACTGAAGTTTAAACTAATGATTCCCTGGTGCAAGGGAGAGAGAGGAAAGTCAACTATGAAAAAAAGCACACAAAGAGGCTCACACACAAGAGTATATACACCATGTAAACTTGCCTGTGTGCCATCATCTTTGGCTCTTTTTATAATATTCTGACGTCCATCCACCCAATAAATCAATTTATCTAAGGGATCATAATCTATGGCCTTGACATTCCTTAGGCCGTGCATAGGCAGAATGATATCTGGACTCTGCTGGTCATCTGGTATCATCCGACTGATTGCAGACTTCTGGCTAAACAGGAGGAAGCTGCCTGGGGCTGAAACAAGCCAAAAAAACATATTCAAGACACTGTCAAACAAACTGTTAACAAACACCTACACATCCAAGATTATGTGGAGCAAAACTCCAAAGAGACAAAAATATTCACAATGTAAACTAAGATAATCACATTGGCAATTTCTGCTAGTAAGCTAAAAAGGTCATCCTGTATCTTCTTGGAGCATGAACCCACACACCCTCACACCAAGACAGCATTTACAATTTATATGATGAAATAACTTTCACGCAGGCTTTAGATAATGCCAGCAACCTGGTGAAGGAGAGACACATTTGGTTTTTTTTAATATTACACTCTCATCTGGTTAAAATTTCCTTATAAGCTTCTGTGCCAGCATATCTGAAGGTCAGTTTGTTAGTTTAAATCAACAGCACGTTTCCTATGCCTGCTATCTTCATCAGAAATTTAGATTTCTACACGCAGTTGGTGAACGGACAGGCTCATACCACTGCATGCATGGGGAAGATGACCTTGTGTGATCTCACAAGTGCATGTTTCTCAGACTGTTTAGGACGCTGTTTTCTTGGATGTTATTTTTGTTGGCTTTATAACACTTGCCCAGCTACAACACTTGAGAGGAAAAGATGTCTTGGCTTCAAATGTCCCCTCCACTGCATACGCACGCAAGCCCCAGGAAGCTTCTCGCACCCATCTGAGGCGCCTCAGCCAGCACCGTGGCAATGCGAGCAGCCAGGAGCCATGGGCACCGAGAGATCCTGCGGGAAATGGAAACCCGTTGGGTACGGCGAGGCACAGGTGGCCGCAGTGGCCGTTGTTTTGCACACAGTCGTTCAAGCCATCCTGGCGGGAGGAATGGAAGACCAGTATATCCATGACAAAATCCACATGGCCCTGGATAAGCGTCCTGTTCTTCCCATTGGTCTTGTCTGCTCTTTCTATGCTGTGAAGGTTCCAGTCTGTCCAGTAGATGTAGTCGCTGTACTGAGTTAATCCAAATGGATGAGGTAGATCGTCTGCTATGATTTCTCTTTCTTGCCCTGCAAAAATAATCAACCAAAGGATAGTTGCAGTGAAATGGAGGATGAAATGATCAAGTAGAAAATGTAATGCATATTAAGAAAAAAAAGTTACATCCATTCTTAAAACCTCATTTCCCAGGTCAGCATTGTGGGGTAATGGTTTAATTATTAAGCAGTATTTGCTGAAGACGTAAAAACTAAATACCTGCATTCCAAAATCTTAACCTGATACCCTCTCTCTTATAGAGCAATTTGAAAATGTGCTTAACATCCAAAATAAACACCAGAAAACACCTTCAGGAACACCTGGAACTCCAGGAATCATTTAAGCCAATAAACTCCCCAACAAAAGCAACATGTAGCCGGTTTGAGAGGTACAGAGAAAGAGTTATAAGAAATGGCATTGCACTCGAGAAACAAAAACCATCTGCAGTACAATTTAACATACAGCTACCTGATGGGATTAGGAAGCCATTTGCTTGGCAGAAATCCCAACACTCCCCCACTCTGTGGCTCAGTTAGCAACATCCATAACACATTTAACACCTTCTAGAATATTATACAACACTAAAATAGATGAACTCTTACTGTAAATCACTTGAACATTTTCAGACACAGCTATCACAAATCTATAGCATTTTATATTAAATGAGAATAACCTTCATGGGCATCATCTCCCCTGCCTGCAACATCCTATGCTAGATGCTATAGGACATCCTTTTTCTTCCCTTGCCCTCCTTTCCTTCTCTCATATTGTGCCAAGAAGGGATAAAGAAAAAAAAAATGAAAATGAGAACATGAAGCCATTTTCCTATAAACTACTACTAGAGCAGAAGCAATTTTCCCAGCTACCTGTAGGCATCTAAAACATAAAGGGAAGAACACCACTGTCCTGCACACTCTTGGATACTTCTTAAAGCCATTCTGGTCCACTGAATGGGTTCAGGACCAGCTTCCTTTGAAGGAAGCAGCAAAGCTACTTAACTGAATTTTGCTAGTTGCTCAATGGAGGAGCAGTCTCCCAAGAGGCTGATTTTTGCCCCCTGCGCCTTGTTTATCACGCCAGAGGGCAAGCTGGGACTGCATCACTCACCCACGTAACAGTGCTTCATTTGCTGCTGCTAGGGCAGATGCTCTTGGCAGCAGCTCTGCTCCAGATCCTTTCCTGGCGAGGGGTCCAGCCCGGCCTAGCGCAGGGCAGGTTTTGGCCTAGCCACGTGTCCCTCACCCACCACCTGCTTGCTGGACGGCCACCTGAGCCCTCACACTCTGCTGACCACAAAGACATGCCTGTCGCTAGCGGCTTCAGCGATTCTCCTTTAGCCTTCCCACCACAAAAAAGGTTCATGGTTGGTTCAGGATCAGCTTCATTCGCCACAGACAGTTTGAAGATTTCTTTGCAGTACCACAGTCTGGTCCAAGTTTGCCTGTGGTTATTTTGTTTCTCTAAGTATTACTCAGAAACTTAGTGACAGTTTTGATAGATCATTGACTCTTGATGGGAAAAAAAATAATCCCGCATCCTCTGGAGAAAGAAACCACCTCACTGCCATCTCCAAACAATATACCCATTCAGCAGTACTTAGAGCAAGAAATACAAGCAAGATGCAAAAGCACTGGTAGTCTTGGAATCCAAAGCTGTATGGCTGTGTCTCCTTTCCTGAGCTTTAATCCTTTCAGTTTAAACTTTTCAGGAAATGCTTTCTCTAAACATCACCAACATCAGTTTGTCAATAAACAGCAATGTTTCACTGCAGCTGGAGCAGAGAGTGGTGCACTGTAAGCGGGGGCTGGCGTGCAGCTGTCACCAAGACAGCGTGTGCTTGGTTCTGCTTTCCCTGTGTGTATTTAGAAGCAGCAGCTGGCCTAAGCGCGCATTACCTAGCATATTCGACGACTCGATCATACTCGTGTCCAGGTCAGTCCAGTACAGCCTCTGGTCTGTGTAATCAATGGTGAGGCCATTGGCGCGACCCACTTTGTCCACCAGCGTGATGCTGTTGGTTCCGTCCATGTAAGCCCGCACGATCCGGGGCTTGCCGCCCCACTCTGTCCAGTACATGTACCTGCAGCGGCACGCGGAAGGAAAGGGTTACGGCAGCTAGCTGGCACGGAGCTCAGCTCCACGGCCTCATTTTGCTGAATTTGTTTGTACTTCAGCTAAAAGAAATGAGAGTAACCTATATGACTATGTATATTACACACTCCTGTCAAACAAAGACAAAAAATGTGATTGACAATTCTTAATTTTCCACGACAGCCCAGAGAATTGTGGAATCTGTGAAACGTTTATCATGTTTCAAAAAGCCTGAGGAAACAGAGCTATGGAAACACCAAATATCCGGAGACATGCAAGTAGATGCAAACAAAGCTTAGAAAAATAATTGCGCTCCTTACCCTTTGGTAGGATCGAGAGCTAAAGACCTTGGGTTGTCCAAGTCCTTCCACACAAGCACCTGCCTGAACTGGCCATCCAGGCGGGCCACTTCAATGCGGTTGGTTCCAGTGTCCGCCCAGTACAGGTTCTTTCCCATCCAGTCCACAGCCATCCCCTCCGGATAATCTAGTCCAAACTCAATCACGTGTTCAACAGAGCTCCCATTCATGAAAGCTCGGCTTATGGTCTGGAAAAAAATTATCTGAGATTACTATGGTGCTTTATGGATACCCCACCAAAATCAACAGAAGTGATTATGAAGTTAAGTGTATATTTTTAAAAAAAGTTTCTGCTGTCAAAAAGGATGTATCAATTCACAAGATAAAAGGGCCTCTGTTTTCAGAAAAGCTAGCAGCTTCTCATGACCAGGCCAAGACATCTTAAAGGACATAATTTTCAGAGAGCACTATGCATCTGCACATTCTCCCTTGCCCCTTCTTCCTCTCCTCCATTTGCATAGAGAAAATAAATATATTTTTTAAAAGCAGTTAATTCTTTAAGTCTTAGGAACACATCTCACTTCACATGTGTGAAAATACTGGACAACTCGGGAGGTCACAAGCAACTGAAATGCTTTCCAGTTCTGTGCAAAGTGTCGCTGGGAGCTACTCCTTGATATGGTGGAAGAAAGGTATTTTCCACTATAAATGGTTAAGGCAGCCCTAGCTGCAGTTCTCCACATCCTTGTGAGGGATTTATTTAGTAACGGTGTCTGCAGCACATTAATTTATCACCTTGGCACTGTTCTTAGAGGAGGTGTGTGTGCCCCACGGACGGCACTGTTAGTGCTGAAGCGCAGCCCTCATCAGTCTTCGGAGAGGCTCTGGAAACTGCAGCAGCACCACAGTCACCACAAGCGAGCTCTGCCCTATTATGGCCAAGGCACACTGGCAAGGAAACTTTGACTGCTCACAGAAAGCCTATTAAAAGGCTGAACAGAGGAACCGAGTCCCCATTTTCTACCCTTGCTTCATTCACTTTAAGAAGTTAAGTGACACTGATGAACGGCACATGCTCTCCTAAGCATGTACCTGGATATAAACCAGATGTGTCACATTGAATTTCAGACTGCTGGGAACACTCTGACTTGGAACTGGAGGTCTGGCACAGCATGGAGAGGACTAGACTCCCTGGCCTCCTCTGAGGAGCTGGATCACACCAAGCTGGAGCCACAGGCTCACAGTAACTAATTCAAGGTTCACTTGCCAAATGTTAATATTGAATAAGGTCGTCTTCCAAGTTAAAACTGGAGGGGGCTAGCAAGCTCAGGGGGTTGCCAAGCTTGATGTTTCAATTTCCCTGCTACGTGGCATGAGTGTAGCTCTCCTACAATAGATACATATATGGATGCAACACACACAGCATCCAAGGTTTAGATGTTCGGCACGAGCAGACACCAACTTGGGTTTTATTTGAAGTGGGACCATGCCCATCTCCCAGCTGTGCCTTCAACAACGCAACTGTCTCCATCCCCAAGAGTCTCCTTGGATGCAAGTCAATGACAACACTAGCAACTGCATGGCAGATCATGTAACAGGGACCTTTGTTAGATCAAAAGAGCTGCCCCGTGACTTTCTATTTGGGGCACGCGCCTGTCAGTAATACCTTCAAACTAACATCAGTCCAATAGATCCTGTTATCGGACACATCAAAATCCAGAGCAGATGCCTCCTTGACTCCAGTAAGAGGAATAGCAACGTCATTGTTGTTGGTTTCGAGGGAAATCCTATGAATCGCTGCTCTGCTGGTGAACACTAAGAAGGCTTCAGGAATGATGCAGGTCTTCATGTCACTCAGCAGCTCGAGGCCAATGGGACAGGCGCACCGGGTCTCCTGGGGTGTAAAGAAACACAGATGGCTGCAGCCTCCGTTGTTCTCCGCACAGGGATTAGTTCCTTAAAAACAAAACGAAACAGATATTGGTGCATTGAGGAGGAAAGGAAAAAAGAGAAAGGAGATAGGCTGAATGTAAATGCAGTTTAATTTTCAAAAGAATTTAACACTGCATTACATGTATGTTTAACCTGGTTATTTTTGGCCAAGTAACTTAGGGCTGTATCCCTTTGAAAGTGCCAGTCAAAACGCGCTCAGGTTCCGTGACACGCAATGGTGTGCAGAGCTAGATAACTGCCCTTCTTTCCCAACTACTTCATTTAATGCTGAGATTCATTAGCAGGAGCAATTCCAACAAGATCACCACAGTTTCACACTTAATTTTCTCCACATGAACAAAACCAGCTAATTGGGGAGGGGATGCGAGAGCATAAACAAGTGTCAAAAGACAAAGGAGCACCTTTCTTCATCAGCGGGAACCAGGGATGGACTATTTAAAACTGCTACCACAAGGAAATCTCCAAGATCAGTCTCACCCAGGTTTCTTTTCACGTTCCCTTTCAGAATGTTTCAGACTGATGCCTTAGCTTATACAGGTTTGTTTAGAACTGTTTGAAATCAGTGGATCAAATGGGTTTGCCCTGGTGACCCACCAACGAAAGGCAGAAAATCTTCCAAAAGTGAAGTTCCCCCTGCCCCCAACGACCCCTTTTCAGACCCACCCAAGGCTCTGAGGCCTGGGTGTGGAAGTTTCCTGCTCTACATAGAAGACCACAAGTTCAAGACCACCCTTGTAGCTACTGTTCTGACTTCGCTGGGGCGGTCGGTATGAAATGCAGTTTGCGGTGCCCTGGTGGTGCTGTGACACCCAGTGCTGTTAGGAATAACCCCTTTCACACTATATCACATTGCAACATGAAGAGTTTATTATGCTTAAAGTCTAGCTTCCTAAAAGGTTGGAAAATCCCTGTACTGGCAGGGTGCGATTTGGCAACATGCTATGTGTCATTCTGCTGCAGCTATTATCAGTTATTTTGATAGCAAACCCGTTAATCCATTTACTGCCACGGCCAGACTCCTGTCTAGCAGGTAGCAGACGGATCTGCAGTCTTCCCTGTCACGAGATGTAATAGAAGCCTGAGGGATTTCAATCTGCTTGGCAACACCCGTGACTTACTCCACAAGCAAGATGCACTGAGCAAGATGCATTCGGAACAGTGGGATGTTGTACTGCAAGAAGAGAACAACCAAAAGTGGAGGAGTTTTTTGAGCTCTTGGTAGTAAGGACGCCAGCCTTCCTACACATTGGAGACAGGAGGAAATTCAAGCCGTGGCTTTTTCCACAAGAAGTCAAAGACAGCAGAACAGAAGCCATGGTGGACTTAGGTAGAGGGTCAATAAAAAACAGAAGCAAACGCTTCTTTTGAAATACTATGCTTTCTCAACTGCACAAAAAAATCCTGTTAAAATCATTTAAGCATACAAGACCATAGTTGTTCTCATTGCAAGTGCTAATAAGTTCCTTAATGGAAGCAAACCCATCCAGAAACTCCTTGAAATCCAGCCTCTGACTGCTTGTGCTTACCAAACACTTTGGTGACACTCGTTGCTTTGAGGCCCATCAAGTCTGGCAGTTGGTCGATGATGATGTCTCTGCTGGCCCTGATCTTGTGCACCCTTTCGATGCTTCGTCTCTGCCAGTCTGTCCAGTAGATGTAATCTCCCAGCAGCGTGAACCCAAATATATGGGGAAGCTTATCTTCCAGCAGGGTTTTCCTCATCGTTCCATCAATGTTTATGACCTGTGGGACACACAAGGAAAATGAATTGTAAAAAAAAAACAGTTCTACCATGGCTGCAATTAAAAAGATGATACTAATCATATTTGGACAACTCCTCTAGCTTTACATGATGACTCCTTAAAAGCAACACAGTCGTAGGTGTCTTCAAAGAGAAATGGATGGAATGCCAAGTGTGCAGATGGGCGATCGCACCCCTTGCCCGCTGCAAAAGCTGCACACCAGGACATCAGAGCAAACCTGCCGAAGCCGTGGCAGGGCTTTGGGGAATGGGGGTGACGTTCAGGGATCCTTCATCTTCATTCATGTCTTGGTCTCTCTTCTGAATTCTCCCCCAAAACAAATTGCTGGAGTGGCTTTGCCACTTGACCATGAGGTTCATCAAAATCCTTCTAATAACAAGACGATCAGGTAGAAACTGCACCTGGTAGAACTGCTTCTTAAAATAACAGCTTTTACTACGAAATAATTGCCATTTTCTCGCTCTTGTGATAAAAAGATGTTTCAGATGCTGAGTACTGACTGATAACCAATCTGTCTTCCTAGAACTGCAGAGAAAGTTTCAGGACAGTGGCGAGGGGGAAGCCCCTCAGACAGGCAAATACTTCTCACTAACAAAGCCTTGGGCAACCCCACTTTGCTTGACACGGAAGGAAGGAGATTCACACAGAGTGATCTTTTCAGTCATCAAAGCAAGGGTCATCTCTGTCAAGCCCTAAATATCTTTATTAGTGCCCTCCATGGAGGTGACAAAACCCAGACACCTCTCTGCCCTACTTCTTAAAACTGATAGCTACAAAGTAACTCTATGTTAAATGTATTTAAGTGCATTGAGTTCACTGGCATACTAAAAACAAGGGCCACCACACTTAAGACTCTCTATTTTCCATCATGATTCAACTAATCCTCCCTATTTGTTGCAAGAAAAGCTTCACAGGTGGAAATGTGCTGTGACTGAGGCAGAAATCCATCTCATTGCCATCCTCATTCGCTCGTTTATTCAGACTCTGGATATTTAGCCTGTACCTTGCGGGAAACAAGCTGTCTTTCCCTGGATGACACCTCTATTTTCTTGCGACTTCAAGACAGCTGCGGTGATTTTCAGCACACAATTTCCTGGTAAAGTGTTTAAACACTACCTGGTTTTGATTAAAAATGTTTTACAGTTTCTTCCACAAGGCAGTTAATCTGGGCACAACATTCCCTTTTTTGAGAAATCCAAATAAGATATGGTCACCAGTTCTACCACATGAATTTTACCTGATAAAAAGTTTCTAAGTGCTAGCACCCAGCTACCACGAGGCAGATCTCCCAGCAGAGGGGAGCAATCAGCTACTGCATCTTATATTTATATGTACTGATATGCATATTTCTCATCACTAACACTGTCATTGTCTTGCATTAGTAAGGTGCAAATGTCTTGAAAGGCAGATGATCACAAACAGCTTCATAAAAACTTCTAGACCACCCAACGGCTTGTGTGAATTTGATCCCACACTATAACATAAACTTTGCGAGACAGCAAATACCAAGTCCAAAACAAGAAAATGATCAAATTTTGCAATGCTAGAATCAGAAACCTCTGGGGAGTCAACCCCGAAATTAGCTCTACGAATCAGCAAGCACCTCTTTTTTGTGCTCTTATCCAAGAAAAGGGCTCAATTTTTAATTCAATTCTTTTTTTTTTCCCTTGTTAATTAAAAAAAACGTAAAGACTAAGTAGCAGAGAACACATGCATAGGCATTGCCTGCAAGCACCGAGAAATTTCCCAGCCACCCTGGAACTGAGAAAGGCATAAGGAAATCCAAGGATTCCCTGCAGACAAAAAGCCTCCTGCTGGAGACAGTTAAAAACAACAGTGACATTCCTAAAATTGGGGGAAGTTGTGTGTCAACCAGTCAAGCTATAAAATTCCTCTGCTACTGGGCAAAGTAGTAGGGACTGAAGATGAACGTCTTTTTATTTAGTTAAGCTAAATAGAGTACATTAAAAAAAAAAAAAGGTTATGTCTGCGGTTAAAAGCCAAATGGTTCTGCAATTATCTCATTACATCATGTCCAGGCAAACCCCAAATGCTCGTTTATTTAAAACAGTATCAATCCCAGCGGCAATACCGCGGGTTCAAGAGTTCATCGTGCATACTCAGGTGCTCGAGCCAAACCGGAGCCACGGCAAGCGCGCAAGCCACAGCTTCCTTCGCAAACACGACGCGGCATCGGCGGGGCGACCATCGGGCTGGCACATCGCAAGCTCTTCGCTTTTGCAGAGATGGGTGGGAAAAAGCATATTTCAAATATTGGCCCTGTCAACTAAAATACACCAGTCTCGGATTGCATCCAAGGGTGCAGGCGCAGGCGTTATTTATACTCGCGCACATCTGTGCATGTTGTTAACTCGCACGGTCGCAGTCGCTGAAGCTACGAAACGGAAAGCCTGTTGGACAATCTAGTCCTGTCCTGTCCCAGGAAAGAGCGAGCCCCACATCGTACCACCGAGGGAGCATAAGGGAATGGAGAGCAAAAATAGGAGATAGCTCGTCCAACTTGCAGAGGGGTGCGAGACCAATCTTGCAGGCAACCCCTACCCATCCGATACATTTTCTCTTTTGATTTTTCCTGTCATCCATCTTCCCAGAGATTCCCCTCCTCTTTAACCCACGCACCGACACCACAAGGATGCATACCAAGGAGTTTATACATTAACTCACCGTGTAATGTTTGCAGTGGTGCCGACTGCAGCCCAAGGGAAGCTATCAAGGGGCATGCAGAATTCAGGAGGAAGGATCATGTTATCGACAAAAAACTTAAGTGCATTAAGAAGCTCTCTGCAAGGTGCAGGTACCTAAGGACACTGTCCCATGGAGAATATAACAGATTAGCTGCATTCAGAGAACTGCAGATCACAGGTGTGTTCAGTTTAGGCAGCTGCACTGCTCCTATCCTGCACTGAGGCCACGCTAGCTGCTTGCTGGAGCGCATAGCAAGCCCATGCAGAGAGCTGTTCCATGAAAATAAACAGGATTTGGGGGCACAGCTCTCAGGCAGAGTCAGCGTCTTGACCTGGTTCAACGCTTGGCTTGGTACCAAGCACTGGTACTAGTGCACCTACCTGAGCAGGAAGATGCCCTAGAGCAGGAGGAAGGCCTCTGGCTTTAAACACCACTCTTAGGTGGTACCAGCACATTATTTTATGATTTCCTTTTCCCTTCCATTATGCAAAACTTTGCCTCAAAACACCTTGAGGCCAGCAGAGGCTTGTGGTACTCGGGAATTTCTTCCTCTTTCTGTAACTGATAAAGGAACCTTGACCCAGGTTAAGGGATAAATAAACACAGCCCTAAATCTGCTGTGCTCTCCAAATAAAGCACCATGAGGCCCTCTCGAACGGAGGCAACACTAAAAGCCCCTGACTACTCTTGAGCCTTCAGCGACAAATCTTTTAATGAGGCATCACCATGTATAGCTAAAATCCATCATAGGCAATATCAAATCAACATCAAACACCTTAATGAACTGAATTAGCAGAAAACGCGGAAAGGTGATAAGGTGTGATTTTGCTTAGATGCTGCTGCAGCATATGCAAAACCATTTAATGAACATTTCCAAATATAACACTCAAAAGCTCTTGGTGCTTTGAAGGAGATTAAAGTAAAACAATGCAATTAAATTCTACACATCAGGGTGATTCATGCAGCCAGCCTGTGTTTCAGGCACATCTGCGCAAGAACAACGATTCGCCACCCATACAGAAGGTCTCCTGGCAAACAACAAAGCCAACTCCGACACCTTGCTCCACTGTTGAATTCGTTAAGATAAAAACACAGTTTATTCAATGGCTACAGACGGAGAGAAGCAGCAAACTCGAGGGTCACAAACACAGCCCCAGACAGAGCAGAGGGAAGCAGCTGGGAACGGGCTGCTCCACAGTCTATATTCAGCTGAGTCTAAGCCGTTCATTAACATTTCCAACAGCTGAAGTGGAGCCACCTTTCAGCAGTGCTCCAGGATAAAAGTGCATTCCTCCTTTTTCACCCTGGAGGGGCTTAATACTAGGGACGTACTGGCAGAAGCTGGCAAGCAGAAAACAAAAGGAATAATATTAAAAATGAACGGTACCAAAACTCACTTATCACCAAAGAAAGGGAGAGAGGAGGAATACTTAATCTGGCTGTTTTCTACAAAAACAGACTGCTCAAGTCTTTGAGGAAGCTGTTGGCTCAAGCACTCAGGACAGAAATGAGAATCTAGAAAATAACTCTTCACTGCTCTCAACTCTGTGAGATTATACATGATCTTTAAAAGGCTGCCCTGCAATAATTCCAGTCCATCTTGACAACATTTAGGCTGTCTGTAGAAGATACACCATAAATAAAGTTAGTAGTGTTTTGCTGTCATTGCATGGCATGGATTAAACATTCTAGCATGACTCTTCCTGGATCTCTCTCACGTCAGGTAAGGTTTGCTCTAGCCACAAATAATTTCTATCATTTTGTGGACTATCACCTTGCTTAAGTATCCATGCTGGTTGCCAATTGCAAATAGTGTAGTCATTTATTTTCTATACATTTCATCAATTCTACCTTTTCTTTAATCAGTCCAGCTGCAGGCACCTAGGTGCATTTGGGATAATCTGCAAAGCA